TATTTTGAAGGAAGACAGTTTCAAACTATGACTGAATATTTGATTTCATAAGAAGCAGATGTTTGAGTTGATTCATATTCTCATACTAATATTACTGAATAAAATTAATATATTTCTTATTACGTTATACAGTATTTTCTCTCTCCTTTCAGCATGCCTTTGTGGTGCAACGTTAGCACGCTCAGTACGTGTTTGACAGATCCATGTTCGAGTCACAGCGAGGACATTGGCCCATTTTTTATATCTTCTGCTTAAAAAAAAAAAAATTTTTTTAATTCTCTAATGACTCTAAACGCAAATACTGCACTTTACAGAATTTGTGTGCTGATTTCAAATATAGGATTACCAAATAAAACAGGCAAATCGACAGCCTTTGTAATTAGCGTAGATTTTGTGAAATCTCAATCGATTTCTATGGCAAAACGGGTCCTTCTTCATCAGGAGCAAAATCTTCTGATGAAGGAGGACCCTTTTTGCTCTCGAAATCGATTCGGATTTTACAAAATCTACGCCGAATACAAGGTTGTCTATTTCCCTGTTTTATTTTTCAAGTTGGCGTGTGTCTCTTCATTCAGGATTACCAAATTTTATATGTGGCTTCAGAAAAGTATATGGTAAACATGATACTCGATGACAAATTATTGTTTTTAAAAATCTTCTTTTTTAACGATTTGTTTGCTTGTAGCAGAGACGTGTCAAAGAACTTGAGGCAAAGTGGTTAAAGCGCGCCCAAAATTTCGTAAAATATTAAGCATGCATTAGTGACCAGAATTATTTAAGTCATTTACATCATTTGGATGTGTAACATAAAAGCTATTCTTTTTAAAATACTTAAATTTTTCACCAGCTAGAAACTGGAATTGAAAGCTATCCCGTTTAAATTTAATCCCGTTTCCGTTTAAATCCCTATGTTAGTTATAAGATTAACTATCTCTCATTTCTTTCATTTCTACTGTCAAAAATATTTATATAAAATATATTTTATATTATATTTGTTTGTTTAATTTCCAAAGTATTCAATAGTTCTATGTCTAAGGAGTAAGATGTCTTCGTGGAGGAATTTGTAATGGAAACTGGCTCCTATTTAGGTTACACATGGCGGAGAAAATATCTACGCAGCCAATCTATTCACTGCGATCCGATATTGGATTAATCAATCTGTTAAGCCTGTAGTTTTGTAACTTTAAAAATTTTGTTCCAAGATTATAAACCTTTTTGTTATGTGTTATTTTCTTTGCAGTGCAAAATTCAGCGAAGGCATATTTGAAATTTTAAATGAATTTTCGGAAAGATATTGTTATACCCAAGGCAATGATCAATTATTTCATGTTTTATATAAATTTTAACTTTATTTAAATTTAAGGTAGTAATGGCAAGTTGGAAATTCTATAAGATATATGATAACGATTTTTCTATCTCGCTTTAATTACTTTATTGTTAGCAATTAATTAAGTTTTGCAACCAATCCTTTAAAATAAACTCTGCTGCTAATATAAACTGTTAGACTAGCTGTAACAACAAGGGTGCCCTCTAGTGAGTTGCCAGAGAAGGACTTCAGTAAAAGCCAAGTGTTTAACCTGATAGGTTGTTTCAGACTCTTGCTTTGTAATTTTCTTAAAGTTAAATGTAATTGTCCGTGTGTAACTTAAACCTGTTAATAACTAATTGTTACACTATAAAGGACTCTTACATGACCTTATCCGACACGATATAGATTTCGCTTAATTAATAAATTAAAGGAAAGCACGCGACTGCGCAAGTGCTCAAGAGCCGCCGTTCAAGATACTCCCTTTTTATTGCGTTAAATCAACGGTTCTCAAGCTGTGGTACATAGCAATATTTTTAGTGGTACAATTTTTACAGAAAAAAATTTAATGAATGTCAAAATGCGCCCCTTTTAACATTTTGTTTTAATCTTTATTATTCAGAATCACATATATTTTTCAAGTTTTTGACTTTTACGGCTCTAGCTTTAATGCTGAAATGACGACTTTTCCAAGAAAACTGACTAAATTTCACAACATTCACCATTTTTTTAAACCTTGTAATATTATAAGGTATTTCTCCCGTCTTCCTAGCACGCCTTCGTGGTGTGGTGGTCTGCACGTTGGGCGCGTATTCCAGAGGTTCATGGTTCGATTCCCGACGAAGGCGTTTCTCAGGTTGGGTACGCAGCCGGCGGCTCGCGCTTCATTCTTCACAGATGGCATGAGCGTTCTGAATGCGCTGAATTCCTTTCCTCCAAAACATCCGCACACGGCAGCACTTGGAGAGATCTTCTTGACGTTGGGCTCTTCCATGCCTTTAGAGATCAACTGGATAGGGGGACATGCCGGGCGGAGGGGCGGCGAGCGAGCGGAGGGCCTGGCTGGGACTGCGGCTCTCGGCCCAGAAATTGACAAGGAATTTCCGCTTTCCGCAGAGGTTGCAAAAGGGCTCCTCGGGACAGCATTTCAAGAGACATGGTCATCACGATGACAGGAAGAAGAGACAGGAAGATTTACTTACAACATCTTCCCAATACCTTCTCTCAAGAGGCTGAAATGGAACCGACTCTTCCTCCAGGCCTGTACCTGCCGCGGGGGATTCCCAGCGTATTACAGACGTTTCCTTAGACGGGACGTCAACTGTTCTTGCGGTTTTCGCGGGGAAGACGCGGACGCACTTCATTACCTGCTCTCCTGCCCTCTGACAGAGCACTTCGACAGCAGTTCTTTCCTTCCGACTACGTCACATGTCCTGTGAATGGACTGTTCACGGACTGTTACTGCGGCAGGGGCATCTTAGAGATGGTGAAGCAGGTGAGTGAAGGTGATTATATCCAAGAGGCTACAGATTAAAGTGGAGTGTAGAGGGGCGGCCTGGCCGTCGGATTGCTAGCGGTGACTGGGATGACTTCCTAACCCTGTAGTGCCATTAACTCAGTTTGGCGGAACAGGTTAAGTAAAGTGACCATATCTCTCTTGCTTCCAGTTAACCTAGTGACCTTACAGTGGTGCTCGAACTAAAAGGGTGGTGGATGATGATTCTCCACACCCAGGATTTTGGCGACTGGGTCTTTGAAAGGGTCTTATAGCGGCAGGAGGAGAAAAGCAATGTGATGAAAAAAATGGTGCGAGATTACATAACATGCCAGAATGTTCTCGAAAGTACTGGTCTGGGGGCAAGGTCCTGAAACTGCGGAAAGGTAATTAGAGGTTGGCTGTTTGCGTAGAGCAAAGGCATTGCATTTTTTATATTTTACATATATATACATACTCGTAAAATACTTGTTTATATTTTATTGTAATGTAAAAGTTTCATTTACGAATATAATTAAATAGTATAAATTTAAAGGGTTTTATTCTTTTATTATATACACTCCATTCAGGATGCACTGATTTTTAATGGCGAAATGCTTTTATGGCGTTACACATATTTTTCTTTCATATTTATAAGGTACAAAATTTTAAAAGTCTGAGAAACCCTGCTTTAAATGATCTAATTTGAAACGGTGCTTCTCGATGTTTTCAAAAATGGAAATTAACTATAATAATATTTTTTTAATTTTAATTACTTTCTTTAAAAACATTTTTAAGAGAAAGTTGAAAAGGTAAGGTATTTCTAAAATTTCGGACCGAATTTGGAGCTCCTCCTGGCCATTCACCTAAGGCACTTACATCTCCCTTGTTCCGGTTCGGACTTGTAGAATTTTTAAAAAATAGTATCAAGAATTTAAGGAATGTAAGTACCGCTAGTACATTCGATTATTTTGGCATATGTAATCTCCCTGCATGAACAGGAGGGAAGAAAAATTTTCTGTGATATCAATATTTCTGTGATCGATATAATAAGGGCCTTAAGTTAAAATGCCGATGTTTACTTTAAATTTAGAAAATAAAGAATTTTGTTTTTCATAGATCATAAAAAACCGCATTTGCTTTTATAATTAAGGTTAGGTTGGTTGGTGGATTTTCTGGCTCATAACCTAAAGCAAGGTTTCTTAAACCTTTTTCAGTCACGACCCCTTTTATCACAGAGATTTTTTCGCGACCTTCAGGACCCCATAATATTTACAAAAATTTTGTGGAATCCCATAAGTATTGCGCAAATCCGACACACACGTGAGTGAAACTGTCAATTTTTTCACTTGCACTGTAATATACTATTGCAGTTTTAGATCATTAACTTTAATTTATAATTTTAAGACAGAGAACAATGTGAAAATTTTAAACAAGTAACCGACGAAATGACAGCATCACGTGCAAAGCAAGGAAAATTAACGTTTATATTATAAAAAGAATGCGTCGAAACGTTTTCGTTTTTTTCTTTCTGTCCTTTTCTTTGTCTTATTTTCAGATACATTGTGTAAAAATATTTGATAATTGTAAAATTATTATAAAAAGTTAAAGAAATATCAAAAATGCTAAATTTTTTTGCGATCCCCAGTATAAGAAATCCTGACCTAAATGATTATGATGCGCCACAAAACATATTCATTCAATTTAGTTTTGTAATTAAATGTACATATAACTAATAAAATGTCCTGATGTGATGATACGATGCATTATCTAAATTGAATATTTAGACGATGCATCGTACTTTGCCATGCATCCAATTTTTCGTTCTAAGGTTCGAATTAATGTGAGAAGTGTTGGATCAAAATCGATTTTCTCTCAAGAGAAAGGACAATTTTTCAAAAGAAAAAAATATTTCAGACTTAGTCAAATAGGATGATGCGGTACTTATGATAAAGAATTTTTGAAAGTTCTTCACTAGTGTGTAGGCCATGAAATGTAAAAAGGATTATAATGCAGCAACCTGTCCACATATGTTTCGAATAAAATTTGTATTGAATATTATGATACAGAGTATATCTGAAATTCGAGCTTGGTAACAGGACAAGATTAACTATCAAAATTTAATATTTGAAAATAAAAAAAGCTACAAAAAAATATATATTAAGTCACTAACTTACAAATATTCGATTAGAATACAAAATAGCAAAGATTCTAACTCACCTATGCCGATCATTATCTCATTCTTATTGGTCCGAATTCGACAGAAAAGGAGCTCATTATCTGGGTCCAGGTCTTTTACAGTCTTTCTCGCCAAATTATTCAAAGGAACAAGAGCATTCATCAAATCTGTGGTCGTTGCGTTATCCATAGAGGTACGCAGACCTTTAGAAGAAAAGGAAAGAAGACAAAAAGGAATTCTGTAACTTTACATAGTATATTGGTGTGCAAAACGTGAACTACAATCATGCTTTTATTTGGATTTTTAAAGTTGATTTGCATGGAAAAATTTATTATTTTTCCACATCCTTGCAGAAAATAAAATTCATCACAAAATTTGTAAATTAAACGATTATACTAATTTAGAAGTCAAACAACAAAAATCAGCGTTATAGTTTCGAAATTTTCACAGTGAAATTTCTGTGAAAATTTCGAAACTATAACGCTGATTTTTGTTGACTGTGAAAATTTCGAAAATATAACACTGATTTTTGTTATCTGTGAAAATTTCGAAAATATAACGCTGATTTTTGTTGTTTGACTTCTAAATTAGTATTTGTTCGGCGTGTTATTGTGTCTTAAACGATTATAATCAAAGAAATAAAAACTGAGAAGTATCATTTTTAACTGTCGATAGTATTTTTGATCATATGTGAATTAAAATAAAATCGTATGGCTCCCATATACAAATTCTATTAGGTCATTAACATAACTTCAAAAAGCAGTAGACATGATAGTATAGAAATGATATATGTAATACTAATTATATTTCGTTTAAATTTCTCTTCGCCATTGTTAGCAGCTCCATTATTTTTTTATCACAAGAGTTCCAGAATATCGTAGGAGCTTTAAAAATTATTTTTCATCTTTAGGGTATTTAAATAAAACCGTGAAACTTAAAAAAGTTTCTATATATTTTATTAAACTATTACACGTGTCAATAGCATAAGGTAATACGACAAATTATGTGTGAATGTGCATCATTGATGCAATGTAACATTAAATTCACAAAGTAGTGAAAATAATTTTAAAAGGATACTTTAGCATTTACACAATTAAAATTTTTTATATCCGTAACTTTTAATTCAAAAAAATTACGAAGGTTATTGCGAATTCGGTCTTGTATGACATCACTGATTCATAGTTTTATCTAACGCAATGTGTTGTTCTTTGTATCTTCATCTATCAAATTTATTTAAATAACTGGTGTTAGCACTGGCAGGAGCCTAACCCTGTTTGCATTCTTACCTTCGTATTATCAAACCACATTACTTTGGACAATCATGACTCTTTCTACATTTCACTTTTCCAGCCTTTTGTTTTGGGTCAGTCTTTTAAAAGAAACGATTTCGAATAGGTAAAAAATGCTTTAGAAACCATTTTGGTATAAAACTACTCAATTACGATAGACAACGTTTACAGAAAGCAAACTATTAAAAATGCAGAAATGATCTGCCGAAGGAAAACTTAGTTACTGAAGCATATCAATTCCAGTTGCATTTAGAACTCGAACAGCTTAATTTTTTAAAACTTTTAAACTAAAAAAAGTCTCTAAACGTATAATTATTCTTAAAATATATCAAAATGTTTTTACCAGGAAAAACATTGTTGCATTAGTAGAGGCTCGTAATAGATTAAATGCGCACAGAACCGATAATAGCTTGATAAAATGTATTTTTCCAAAAGAAACACTTTACAGTTTTAGAACTTTCTACAAAAATACTCGTACAGTTCTTCTCAGTATGACACAGCAACAACCAGTAGTTACCATTTCAAACTTCTAAAAACTTTAAACACAACGCAGTGCAAAGCGCATCTAAAGAGCGAAACTTACAATGAGATCTCTTATACTCCGAAGTCAGCTCTGAACTAAAAATTGAGAATTCTCTCCGATCTTATATAATTTTCCCCCGACCGTCGAGGAATTTCCAGTACCTTCCATTTCTCGAAATTATTAAAAGCCATATAAAGTTTTATAAAAATTTTAATTTCCACATTAGAAATTTGTCAGGACTTGTGTTTCTCTTGATTTGCTTTGGAAACATGAATGATCCTGAATAGGAACAGGGAGCTTACTCAAGCTATGTTCAAGAAAGTGTGAAGTAGACAACACAAGCAGGAAGGGTATACGAAACCCTTTATTTTCAATCTTTTACAGGCACTTCGGAACTTCGGAATACAGAGACCAACCACTTGTGGTCTGAACGTAAGAATATAAAAACTACTAACTAAAACTCTAACTAAAAGCTAACTTTAAATTAGTATACAAATGCCTAGCACTAAGACTGGCCTTTATTTAAAAAAGGTACGTATGTAGTACGCCGAGCTTCTTAAACTACAATACGTTTGCAAATATCAAGAGGGCTAAACCTCTGGCCTTAAAGGCAACAAGCAACCGAGTGAAAACTCGTAAAACTACAGTGGCAGGCGGCTTGCTTCCTAACTCCTTCTATCTCTTGGCAAAAAGCCACAACTTAAGTACTTGGGCGTTAACAAGACAATTTGCATAAACAAGTTAAAGCATTTAATTCTGGCCGGAAGTAGAAAATAAGAAGTGATAGTACAGTTTTAAAATAAAATAAACGTTAGTAAACTTAGAATCCTTACAAGTTCTGTAATTTAGTTTTTCCATACGTTCGTTACATTCCCCTGCCTGGACACTACCTTCAAAGTCTTGCGATTTCCTGAGGCAAAACGGCTTTCACTTTTAATGCATGCTGCCGGATAAATTATTTGTTCTCAGAGGTTTTGTCATTTGACGTTTCATAAAGTCTTTAATTTACCTTTCAAATCGAAAGAATAACTTGCTTAATGATTTAAAAAGGAGTTAAAGCACTTCTTAATAATAATTCACAACTTCCTATTACTTTTGATTATATCTGCAAGTGATCTAATTTATAATACCTCCAATTAGTGAGATTTATTACGTATCTAATGCATAAGTTTGATAAATATTTGTATTATTTTCTAATTAGTAAAACCTTTTTCTAATGCAACATGGTTTTTTTTCCAGCATCCACAGGTAGCATGGTAATTAACAAATCCATCTCCCCTGACGTTCAAATTCAAACCTTGAAGAAGAATCTCTACTCTTAAATCCACAGTACCTTTGCGGCAGGAATTACTTTAAATCCGAAATTCCGCTCAAGACGATAGTAATAACAAAAGAGGAAGGATGAGACTCTTGGATTCTGTCCATTGGCGACTGTTATCGATTGACATTATTTTCATTCATTAACTTTAAACGTTCATAATATCCAGCTATATTATCCCTCGATATGGATATGAAGAGATTCCCTTTTTTGTTCGTGCTTCTTTTTTTTAATTTTTTTTATTTTGATTGCTGTTTTATGAAACCCTTAACACCATATCATAAATCAACACTCTACTCTTAAGTAAACTTCCCAGACTGTCAGACATGAATTCTGGTCCCGTCTTTGATTAAGATCCCAGTAACACAAAGCGATAACAACGATCATAAAAGCAGTTACGATATTTACATGCATGTCAGCTTGAAGTTACATAAACTAAACCGAGTTACAGAAATTTAATATCTGCTTCTTGCGACCTAAGAATACAACAGCAATTCAATTATTTAATAATCAAATATTAAATTGAAGATTAAGAACCTGGCTGATAGCTAACACGCCTTCTAATGAAACTCTAAGTAAAAGCAAAATTCACTACTCTAAATTACCGATATTCTCTGAATTAAATTAGATCGGCGTTCGTATTTAAACTCGCTTAATTTGTATTTCTGGTGGAACTGAACAACAGCATAAGTGTAGGAAAGATTTAACATAAGAAAATAATGCATTAATTTAAATAAATCATGCATGTTTACTATGCTATACTCCCATTTGCTACAGAAGACTCGCGTTTAACCAAATAATCGGTTAGAGATAGATATCTGGATTCGGTGGTTGGGCACACAAAAGTAATCCCCTCGATCAATATCCAGCTTATTATATACTTTTCGTCTGAAATAAAACCTGCACACGAGAAAACTTTCAGATCAGAAATAACTCAAAATGTTTCAAAAATGGTTCTACAAATTAGTGCAATTTTCGTATAATCTCAAACGTGAGTCTCTCACCGATGAAGGATAAACTGCGCTCTATGCAACACACGTTCTCGGGAATCTATCTCTTGACTTATTTGGTTCCATTTTATCCATTTCTGCCTCGTACGTGTCTGAAGTTATCTCTGACACAAGGATGCCTTTACGAGTTTTGCAGAGATGATGTGACTCACATTTTTTTCCCTTTATGCTTTTTGGTTGCCTTTTATTGAAGGATTTATCTTCCATGAGCTTTTCATTGCCAAATGGAGTTCGTTCGAGTCTAGATGGGAGCTCGCTTTTGCTAAATGCATGCATTTTATAGCTAAGTAGCATTGCATAATGTTCAACATCTTAACACTTGGCGAAGTTCTTTATAAGAGTATCTTATAAAGATGGCGCAAAAATGCGTCTTATTATATATGTGAAAAATTTTGTAAGTCTGACAAATGACTAGACGTTCTAAATTCATTCTTTATTCGCTCAAATTGAATGCCTGTCAAACTCAAGACCGGTTGCACAAGATACTAGTAAAAATAAAATAAAAAATAAGTACCGCAGCTGTTAAAATAAAAGGTGCATAATAAGTAAAAACTATATGACAAGTTTCGATAGTTACGTATTAGCTGGCAACATTTCACTCATGATTTATAACAATTTGGAGCCATGATATACACTTTTGTGCAAAAATTAAGGACGAGAGGGTTTTTTTCAATCTAACTTTGTACAAAAGCTTTCCAAATCAACACATTTAATACCGTAAGATCCCCAATACGTAAGGACATGAGTAATGTAAGCAACACTTACTAAAAGAGAAATCAGAGGGATAAAAAGAAGCTTTATTGAAAAAGTAGCATGGAGCGCAATGCGACTGAAGGCCGAAACATCCCTGTGATGGGTGTCCACCAGCAAGAAACATCCGGTCCTTAATAGGGGATATGATCTCCCCTGACTGCTAGGCAGGTTTCACAGCGTCTGCCCATGCTGAGAATGAGGGTGTCAATGAGTTGTTGAGGCATTGCTGCCCATTTGTCTTGCAGCGCCGATCGAAGCTCCGCAATCGTTACTGGTGGTAAGGTACGACCTGCCAAGCGTCTGCCTAGAA